GAACTCAGGGACCGTGAGATCGTGACCTGAGCTGAAATCTGACGCTTAACCGACTGAGCCACCCAGGCGCCCCCAGACTCCCTTTTTTTAAACAGACGAACCTAGGGAGACACCGGCAGGAACCAAAAATTCGCGTCTCCTAAACTAGGCGAAGTTAACACCGCCAGATACCTCTGGGCGTCCAGCTCTGAACCAAGAGCTGGAGTCTCGGCCTCCGATGAGCCTGTCGCTCTGGCCTCCGGCCGGCCACGCGGGGGCAGAATTCCCGTGCGAACTAACGAACGCGTTCACGTGTCTTTGTCTTTCAGGTTCAGTACTTCTTCAGGATCCTGGATAACTAGCAGTAGAGGAAGCAAAGAAGTCACAGGCTGGGGCAGTCAGACGAGACCGAATCAGGCACAGGAGGAACGTGTTCATTCTTTTATTGTCCATTGTTTTAACCTGACTGAATACAAGATCAACACTGTACTCCTGGCGATTATTATAGATGTCAGAACATGGATTTTGCACTGTAGACAACATTTAACACCGGTCTATGGGGTACTGCATTGCTTTTTATAAAGTCCAAAATAAAGATTTATTTTCAAACAAGTGACTTTGGTTTATTTCATACATTACACTTTTTCTTGCAGAAAAAAATAAAATTGTACAACTGCATAAATATAAAATTCTTCCACCATGAAAATGGTTAAAACATTCATAAAGACACAGCACCAGCGTGTGATGCCTCCAGAGAAAGGAAAAAAGGAAAGTAAGAGAAAATGTCCAAAGCGAATGAATGAGTCCTGTCACTTTGCCAAAGCGACAGGCGATCCAGGTCTCATACGCGGCTTCAGGACATACTGGAGGACAAGGGGAGAAGGGCAAGACGGCATTCGGTACAAAGCACGACACAACCCATCACCGTTTCGTGTTTTCTGTAGCGTCACTTAAAATTTCAAGGGCAGTTCCCCCACGACAGCCCCCCCCCCCACCCCCAGGAAAACAGAAACAAAACACAAAGAAAAAGACCCGACACCACAGGGAGAGAGACTACGTATGGAGTGTGTTAAAAATGCTCACCGATGGGCCGTTGCCTCCGAAAGAGCCAAACCCAAAAGAACAAAGGAAAAAAAAAGTACCATGCCAGTTTTATTCCCGTTGAGTATTTACACCGTGGACGGCAAACCTCGCTCACAGAAAGTAGAAAACAGATACGAGAAAACATGGCTTGAAAAACGACCAGGTGCACCTATGGTACCATACACGAAATCAAACACACGAGGCGGCAATACTTAGGGGCCAGAAACACTGCTTACTACGGGTCAGTAATGGAATCATAATTTACAGTAAAAATGGGCACGTCCCAAGGCTCAATTTGTATTCTCCTTTTGTCATTTACAGTAGAATAAATATTTTGTTGCTATTGCTACACTTTAAATTTACATTCTAACCTATTAAATGCAGAAAGCTAGTGTAAAGCAGAGAGATTAAGTGTAGGTCCCATACGTATGACAGTTTATTCAAGACTAGTAGGTGTTTGTTTTTGTATCTTTAACTGTTTTAAATGGCTAGTGGGAAGGATCTGTGCTTGCGATCAGCTCTTAACTTCAATCTTTACATCAAAGCGTCCCTGGAAACGGTCCTTCTCGCTGTACCCGATGTTCTCACCGAACGCCTTGCACTCGATGCGGATCTCAGTGTCCATGGTCAGGTTGGTGAACTGCACGGCCAGCAGGGGCTGCAGGTACTTGGGCTGCAGCAGCTTGCCGTAGTAGGGGTAGTACTGCAGGGGGAAGCCGGCGTAGCCGCCCAGGCCGAAGTACTCCACGTTCCCAACTCTGTCCTTGTCTTCGTCTCGCTGCAAACCAGAGGGGCACAGGTTGTAACGG